TAGGGGGGTCGGAATAGGTCATAAACAAGCACCGCACCTAAGGAGTCGTGTTTTGAGTCGACTCAAAACACGAATAGGTCATGAACAAGCACCGCACCTACCTCCTCGCTCCGCATTGCCTTCCCCCTTGCCCATCCCATTACACATCATCCTATCCTATCCTCTTCCCCCATCCCCCTAGGCCCCCAACCCCCTCTCCCCTTCATCTCCATCTTCCCCCCATCCACCTCCCCTACCCGAATAGCTTCCATCTCACCGTGTAGTTAGACTGCATGACTCCAAACACCTGATCAAGATTCCCCAACACAAACAAACTGACACTTCCTGGCCCCCCTATCCCCCCAACTTCCATCTCACTGTGTAGTTAGACCGCATGACTCCAAACACCTGGTCCAAATCCTGTAGCTCAAACCTACACACACCCCCCCCCCTGCTTCCCCTTCCCCCTCTCCCAAACCCTTCCACTTCCTGGCCCCCCTATCCCCCCAACTTCCATCTCACCTGGTAGATGGAGTGCATGACCCCAAACACCTGGCCCAGATCCTGCAGCTCAAACAAACAGACATGTCCTGGCCCCACACATCTTCCTTCTTCCACCCATCTCCCATCCCAACAACACTTCCTGGCCCCCCTCCCCTCCAGTAACTTCCCTCTCACCGTGTAGTTGGACTGCATGACCCCAAACACCTGGTCCAGATCCTGCAGCTCAAACACGCCCGCATATTCCACGTCTGAGAGCAATCTACGAGTGTGGGGGGGGCGGGGGGGGAGCGGGGAGGGGAAGAGGCGGGAGGGAAGATTCGAGAGAGAAGGGGGAATGGAAAATGACTCCACGTTTGTGAGCCACCTAAACCTGGGGGGGGGGGGGGAGGGGGGGGGGGGAAATGCGGGAAGGAAGATCCGAGAGGGGGAAGACAAAGGGAGAGACAGGGGGAAGGGAGGTTCGAGAGGGAAGAGGTGGGGGAGGGGCGGATGAAAGAACAGGCAAAGAAGATTTGGGACGTCCCAATACAGCAGCAGCAGCAGCAGCAGGAGCAGCATTAGTAGCAGCGGCGGCGGCGGCAACAGCAGCAGCAGCAGTGGCATGTGCATGGGGGAACCTAGCACGCCTACCTGGGCGAGGAGGCGAGCGTGATGACTCGGTGGAAGAGGTCAGGCCTCTGCAGCGCGAGCAGCAGCCCCACCATGCCCGCCTGCTGGTGCCCTATGAACGTCACCTCCTGCCATGAGGACGAGGCCTGGTAGGGGTGAGAGGGAGAGGGGAGAGTGGGGGAGGGAGGGAGTGATTATGTGAGCAGCAGCCCCACCTGCCTGCCTGCTGGTGCCCTATGAACGTTACCTCTTGCCACGAAGACGAGGCCTGGTGGGGGTGAGAGAGAGAGAGTGGGAGTGTGACATAGAGTGAGTGGGAGATACGAGTGTGAGAGTGAGCGACTGAGGGAGTGAGTGCGTGAGTAGGTGCGAGCTTCACCAGGCGATTCCTCCTGATGTGCCCAAGTAATCCCCTCTCCCCCCACTTCTCCTATCCTCACCTGGATGGATCCCTAGCTCATCCATTAGTAGATCCACACCCCAAACCCTAAGCCCCTACCCAACCACCCTCTCCCTCTCCCTTCTCGCCTTCCAAGTCAACTAAGACAATCTCAGCCAACATCTTCCCTTCCCTCCTCCCCCCCCCCTCCCCCTCCCCTTCCCCCTCCCCCTCTCCCTTCCCCTGCCCCTCTCCCCCCTCACCTGGATCCCCAACTTGTCCAGCAGCAGCGCCACGTCATCCTCAAAGCCCTTGAGGGACGCGTAGCGCACTGGGTCAAACAGGTCGTGCTGGGAGCTGGGGAGGGGGTGGAGGGACATGGGGGGAAGGGGAGACAAGGAAGGAGGTGGATGGGAGGGACGCGTAGCGCATGGGGTCAAACAGGTCGTGCTGGGACCTGGGCGGGGGGTGGAGGGGGAGGGATGGGAGGGTGCGGGAGGAAATTGGAGGAATGGAAGGAGGAGAAGGAGGGGAAGGAGGGGAAGGAGGGGAAGGAGGGGAAGGAGGGGAAGGAGGCGAAGGAGGGGAAGGAGGGGAAGGAGGGAAAGAAGTAAAAGGAGAGGAACGAGGGGAAGGTGGGGAAGGAGGGGAAGGAGGGGAAGGAGGGGAAGGAGGGGAAGGAGTGGAAGGAGTGGAAGGAGGGGAAGGAGGGGAAGGAGGGGAAGGAGTGGAAGGAGTGGAAGCAGTGGTGTATAAGAGCGACGCGTACCACACAGGGTCAAACAGGTCGTGCTGGGAGATGCTGTTGGATGAGAGATTGTCGAGCTCCCTCCAGTCTTCACTGCAGATTCTCGACCACTCAAGCATCCTCCTCTGCCAGTCGCCTTCTTCGGACTTTCATCCGCCTTCTGCTGCGAGCCTTCTCCTTTGGCGAAGCTTGGTCCACCAGGGCTCGGAAATTCTCCTTGTCGTAGAACACCTCGTGGCTCCTGCATTCCGCCTTCTGTCGGTTCTTCGGTGTTCTCGTCGTCTCTAGAAGTCTGTGATGCCTCGTCTTCCTCTGTGCGAGTCTGCGGATGGTCGATCTCGCATTGGGCTCGTGCTCCCAAGAGCATAAAATTGAGCTCCCGCTCGGTGAGATCTCCGCCTTCATGACGAGCGATCAAAGCAGCCTCCTGCTCACTTAAACTGTCGAACGCCACGAGGATTTTCTCAGAGTCCCCCATATCGACGAGCTAAGTTCAATGAGACCTAACATAAAAAAACGGGCTTTCCGCGTGTTCGATCGACACTCACCGCACCATGCAAAAATTTATACTCTAACGGTTGTATGAGCTCTACAGAATGCTTCCGTGTAGACACGTTTGTTGGTGGTTCACTAAGGAGACACAAATTTGGTTAAGTCTTGAAAGGCACACAGTTGTCACACAAAGAAGTTCAATAGAATAGAATCAAAGATAGAATACAAGGGGTAAAAGAACTACCCAAACACTGAACCTAACTAGAGAACGTTCGCACAAGAACGTTTAGATAACTACCACTTAGCTGCACTTTGCCAAGTCAGCATCGGCAGGTGAAAATTACAACACATGTTTAGTTGGTAGTTTTTATCTACCTAGGAGTAGTTATTATAACTGTTCAGGTTGTTTTAACCAGTTTCTGTAACGCACATTTTCGTATTTACGAAAACGTGCGCCAGGTTCAGTTTACGCAGTTGGTTCAATGCGCCCCAGATTGAACACCCCAAGTTCATGCACTGTTTCCGGTGACAATTTCTCAATGTTTCGAAATTCTTCCGAAGCGATCGTGAATTCGCGCACTTCCGCGACGAACAGGTTCGCCCGTAGAGGACGCGCTCCTCTGCAGAAATTCGTTTCTGCAGACGCGCCCTACTCTGCAGATCCACGTTCTGCAGATTCGCCCTCCTCTGCAGAACCACGTTCTGCAGATTCGCCTTCTTCTGCGGCGGAACATGTATTCCGCTTCTGCAAAGTGCCTTTGCTGCCGTGCAGGGCACGTTTTCTGCTTCGGCGAATCCCTTAAATGAAGTGCTTTCGTCAAGTAATATGTCGGCTGCTCGTTCGTCGAGATGTACTACAGCTTCAGCTTGCGACGTTTCACCATGCTCTACAGCCACATGTAGCGCCTTTCCATGTGTTTCAGCTTCCCTTTCAGACCCATTCCCTCAGAAACAGAAATCGCAGAAGTGTTGTCGACGTAGATAGTCGTTGGTGACGTCTCATCGAGCATGAAAAAATCTGCTATAAGATAACGGAGCTTTCGTGCTTCGTTTCCCGCCTCTGCTGCAGCGATGTATTCCGACTCTGTAGAAGAGAGAGTAATGCACCTTATCCTCTGACTTGCCCAGGAAATCGCAGCTTCGCCAAGAGTAATAATGTAGCCACCCGTGCTGTTGCGATTATGCTTGTCTACTGCAGCGTCCGCATCTGCGTAGCCGACGAAACACATTCTCAATTATTTTCGCCGAATTCGAGGCCATCATCGCGCGTCCCAACAAGGTACGCAAGGCAGAGGTCGAGCTCTCTCCAATGCTGGTCGCTTCGAACCATTTGACCAAATGCAGGTTTGCTGCAGGCAAAGGCGATGTCGGGGCGAGTAGAGCAGGCAGCGAACTGCAGAGAGCCGACCCTCTGCCGGTACTCTTCTTCTCTGGGCGCTTGCAATTTCTCGTCGTCAAATGTCAGCACCTTGAAGGTGTTGACAGAAGTTGGCGATTTCGGAACTCGATTAGGAGGTCCTTCTCGCAGAAAACGCCTCTGTACTCTGTCGACGTAGCCTCTCTAATGCAGCCAAATCTTCCTTGCTTCCCTGTCTCTGATCAGCTCCAATTCTAGGTACATATTGATAGGGCTGATCTCCCGCAATTTGAAGGCGTATTTTAGCAACGCCTTCAGCTCTGCCAGATGCTCCTTGCTGCAGCTCGCGGCGAGCAGATCGTCGACGTAGACGAGCACCCATAACATGTTGTGGTTCTCATCCTCGTGAAAGTAGAAAGCTTCGTCGACCTGGCTCTTCGACCATCCTGTGTCGACCAGCACTTCGTCGAGGGCCTCGTACCACAGCAACAGACTCTGCTTCAGTCCGTAGAGACTTTTCTTCAGCATGCAGATTCGATCTGTCCCGTCGTTGTAGAATTCGGGTTGTTCCATGAAGAGAGGGCGGTCAAGTTTCGCTTTAAGAAATGCATTCGTCATGTCGAGTTGCATCAGCTCCGAATTTCCGTCGCCCTCGTTCGACAGATGCATCCGAGCAGTTCCATAGCTCCCGACGGGGGGTGTGTCAAACTTATATGATGCTTGTTGTGTAGGCTGTAGTGGCGTAGCCCATATGGGGTACAACCCAATTAGGGTTTGCTACTTGTACTCCTCCATGCTGCTAGTTTATCCATTCTCGTTCATTCTTCTGACAAAATGTAGGCACATTTTACAAGGCATAGTGGGTAGCCACATACCTACGCAGATTCGGCATGTGATATGGAGCAGCGCCAGAACTCATCACGACCGCACTCTCAGTCAGCCCATGCACAGCGCCCCTGCCTCTCATTCCCACTCCCTCTCACTCCAGTCCGAGGGCCCCATCCCATCACTCCCAGCCCTCCTCCACCACTCTTGTCGGCGGCAGCATCGACGAAGGGATGGCGAATCGCGTGCTGACCGTCTGGCAACATGCTTGGCTCTGAGCGTCCCGTTCTGGCATGCTGATGTGGCGCAGGATGCTCGTTGCGACGACATCTGGACGCACGTGCAGCGAGGATCGCTGCATACGAGTTTGGGATGGCTGCGAGCATGTGCTGTGTGGTGGAGTGCGGTACCGTGGGGTCGAGTGCAATCAGCAGCATGTGCGACTGTACTAGTACCTGGAGGGGTGTGGGTAAGATGAAAGGGAACAGCAGAGGGATGTGGGAAGCTCGGTGATGAAAAGTTATGGAATGATTGGGAAGACTTATAATGGAGTTATTGAAAAGTTATTTCTACACATGTGCATTCCTCTTCATTCCTCTCAACCAGAGGAGCACACGCATGCAGGAAAGACTTTCTTTACACATGCCATTCCTCACAGACACAACAATCTTCAACACTGCTTTCCACCTACTCATACAACCCATTTCCATACTGCTTCGCCCTGTCCTTTCTCCGACCCTCTCACCCCTGAGAGCGCCAAGTGCACGTCACAGCGCTGCAACTGTGGCACCTGCACCATGCACACTCCTTTGCACCCCTCTCCATCCCTCTCCCCATTGAGAGCACTGCATGCAGCTCACAGGCGAAGGTTGTTTCACAAAACACAAAGGCTATATCTGGGCGGGCGGAGGGAGAATCTCCTGGTTCAACGGCAAGCTAGGGAGGGGGGCCTGCACCACGCACACTCCTCTGCACCCTTCTGCATCCATCCCTCTTACCTCTTAGAGCACTGCGCACGTCACAGGCGAAGGTCGTTTTGAGCAGGTCAAACGCAACGTCTGGCCGGAGGGAGAAGCTCTCATCTCAAACGTCAACACAAGGGGGTCTGTTCTGCACCATGCCCACCTCTCTGCACCCCTCTCACCTCTGAGAGCACAGCGTGCACGTCACAGGCGAAGGTGGCTTTGAGCAGCGCGAAGGCAACGTCTGGGCGGAGGGAGAAGAGCGGGCGCGTGAAGTCGCACACGTGGGGCAGTCGAATGTCATATGGTGTCAGTACTGGCATGCACCCCGCTGCCCACATCTGCAAGATGGGGAAGGTGGGGGTGGGGATGTAGTGCTATGGAGCGTGAGTTGAATCGCGCATGTGGGGCAGTCGAATGTCATCTGGTGTGAGCACTGGCATGCACCCCGCTGCCCACATCTGTAGAGGGAGTGGGGGGAGAAGGGGTAGGGATGTGGTGGGGTTGGGGGAAACGGTAAGGAGTGTGAGTTGAGTTGCGCACGTGGGGCAGTCGGATGTTGTGTCGGCTGAAAGCACTGGCATGCACCCCGCTGCCCACTTCTATTGCGAGGGGGAGAGGTGGAGGTGTGGTATGGTGGTGTGGAGGGAAGGTTTCTAGGAGCGTGGGTGAATGAAGCACAAGGGAGAGACAGTCGGATGTTGTGTCGGCTGAAAGCACTGGCATGCACCCCGCTGCCCACATCTGTAGAGGGGGAGGGGAGGGGAAAAAAGGGGAAGGCAGTTGGGGGTTGGGTTGTAGGGGTGTGGTGTGGAGGGTAGGGTGCATGGAGGGCGAGCGAAGTCCTGCTGACTGCCGTAGCCTACCGACTGCATGATAAGTAACACTAAGGCTAGGGCAAGGGATGCTGGTGCAAGGGATGCTGGGGCAAGGGGATGCTCGGGCAAGGGATGCTCTCTCAATCTCTTGTCCTGCGGCGTGATAGGGGGAGGAAGGGGGGGGTGGGGTGGAATATGTCTTTGAGGCGCCTAAAAAATAGGGGGGTCGGAATAGGTCATAAACAAGCACCGCACCTAAGGAGTCGTGTTTTGAGTCGACTCAAAACACGAATAGGTCATGAACAAGCACCGCACCTACCTCCTCGCTCCGCATTGCCTTCCCCCTTGCCCATCCCATTACACATCATCCTATCCTATCCTCTTCCCCCATCCCCCTAGGCCCCCAACCCCCTCTCCCCTTCATCTCCATCTTCCCCCCATCCACCTCCCCTACCCGAATAGCTTCCATCTCACCGTGTAGTTAGACTGCATGACTCCAAACACCTGATCAAGATTCCCCAACACAAACAAACTGACACTTCCTGGCCCCCCTATCCCCCCAACTTCCATCTCACTGTGTAGTTAGACCGCATGACTCCAAACACCTGGTCCAAATCCTGTAGCTCAAACCTACACACACCCCCCCCCCTGCTTCCCCTTCCCCCTCTCCCAAACCCTTCCACTTCCTGGCCCCCCTATCCCCCCAACTTCCATCTCACCTGGTAGATGGAGTGCATGACCCCAAACACCTGGCCCAGATCCTGCAGCTCAAACAAACAGACATGTCCTGGCCCCACACATCTTCCTTCTTCCACCCATCTCCCATCCCAACAACACTTCCTGGCCCCCCTCCCCTCCAGTAACTTCCCTCTCACCGTGTAGTTGGACTGCATGACCCCAAACACCTGGTCCAGATCCTGCAGCTCAAACACGCCCGCATATTCCACGTCTGAGAGCAATCTACGAGTGTGGGGGGGGCGGGGGGGGGAGCGGGGAGGGGAAGAGGCGGGAGGGAAGATTCGAGAGAGAAGGGGGAATGGAAAATGACTCCACGTTTGTGAGCCACCTAAACCTGGGGGGGGGGGGGGAGGGGGGGGGGGGAAATGCGGGAAGGAAGATCCGAGAGGGGGAAGACAAAGGGAGAGACAGGGGGAAGGGAGGTTCGAGAGGGAAGAGGTGGGGGAGGGGCGGATGAAAGAACAGGCAAAGAAGATTTGGGACGTCCCAATACAGCAGCAGCAGCAGCAGCAGCAGCAGCAGCAGCAGGAGCAGCATTAGTAGCAGCGGCGGCGGCGGCAACAGCAGCAGCAGCAGCGGCATGTGCATGGGGGAACCTAGCACGCCTACCTGGGCGAGGAGGCGAGCGTGATGACTCGGTGGAAGAGGTCAGGCCTCTGCAGCGCGAGCAGCAGCCCCACCATGCCCGCCTGCTGGTGCCCTATGAACGTCACCTCCTGCCATGAGGACGAGGCCTGGTAGGGGTGAGAGGGAGAGGGGAGAGTGGGGGAGGGAGGGAGTGATTATGTGAGCAGCAGCCCCACCTGCCTGTCTGCTGGTGCCCTATGAACGTTACCTCTTGCCACGAAGACGAGGCCTGGTGGGGGTGAGAGAGAGAGAGTGGGAGTGTGACATAGAGTGAGTGGGAGATACGAGTGTGAGAGTGAGCGACTGAGGGAGTGAGTGCGTGAGTAGGTGCGAGCTTCACCAGGCGATTCCTCCTGATGTGCCCAAGTAATCCCCTCTCCCCCCACTTCTCCTATCCTCACCTGGATGGATCCCTAGCTCATCCATTAGTAGATCCACACCCCAAACCCTAAGCCCCTACCCAACCACCCTCTCCCTCTCCCTTCTCGCCTTCCAAGTCAACTAAGACAATCTCAGCCAACATCTTCCCTTCCCTCCTCCCCCCCCCTCCCCCTCCCCTTCCCCCTCCCCCTCTCCCTTCCCCTGCCCCTCTCCCCCCTCACCTGGATCCCCAACTTGTCCAGCAGCAGCGCCACGTTATCCTCAAAGCCCTTGAGGGACGCGTAGCGCACTGGGTCAAACAGGTCGTGCTGGGAGCTGGGGAGGGGTTGGAGGGACATGGAGGGCAGGGGAGACAAGGAAGGAGGTGGATGGGAGGGACGCGTAGCGCATGGGGTCAAACAGGTCGTGCTGGGACCTGGGCGGGGGGTGGAGGGGGAGGGATGGGAGGGTGCGGGAGGAAATTGGAGGAATGGAAGGAGGAGAAGGAGGGGAAGGAGGGGAAGGAGGGGAAGGAGGCGAAGGAGGGGAAGGAGGCGAAGGAGGGGAAGGAGGCGAAGGAGGGGAAGGAGGGGAAGGAGGGGAAGGAGGGGAAGGAGGGAAAGGAGTAAAAGGAGGGGAACGAGGGGAAGGTGGGGAAGGAGGGGAAGGAGGGGAAGGAGGGGAAGGAGGGGAAGGAGTGGAAGGAGTGGAAGGAGGGGAAGGAGGGGAAGGAGGGGAAGGAGTGGAAGGAGTGGAAGGAGTGGTGTATAAGAGCGACGCGTACCACACAGGGTCAAACAGGTCGTGCTGGGAGATGCTGTTGGATGAGAGATTGTCGAGCTCCCTCCAGTCTTCACTGCAGATTCTCGACCACTCAAGCATCCTCCTCTGCCAGTCGCCTTCTTCGGACTTTCATCCGCCTTCTGCTGCGAGCCTTCTCCTTTGGCGAAGCTTGGTCCACCAGGGCTCGGAAATTCTCCTTGTCGTAGAACACCTCGTGGCTCCTGCATTCCGCCTTCTGTCGGTTCTTCGGTGTTCTCGTCGTCTCCAGAAGTCTGTGATGCCTCGTCTTCCTCTGTGCGAGTCTGCGGATGGTCGATCTTGCATTGGGCTCGTGCTCCCAAGAGCATAAAATTGAGCTCCCGCTCGGTGAGATCTCCGCCTTCATGACGAGCGATCAAAGCAGCCTCCTGCTCACTTAAACTGTCGAACGCCACGAGGATTTTCTCAGAGTCCCCCATATCGACGAGCTAAGTTCAATGAGACCTAACATAAAAAAACGGGCTTTGCGCGTGTTCGATCGACGCTCACCGCACCATGCAAAAATTTATACTCTAACGGTTGTATGACCTCTACAGAATGCTTCCGTGTAGACACGTTTGTTGGTGGTTCACTAAGGAGACACAAATTTGGTTAAGTCTTGAAAGGCACAGAGTTGTCACACAAAGAAGTTCAATAGAATAGAATCATGCAGCTCCTCGAGCTCTCCGCCATGTATTTCTTCAGGGTCTTCAACCCAGCATTTCGTGAAGCACACTTATCAGTTGGCTTTAAGGAGCTCAGCCTTGAACTCGCCTTGTCGCGACGAAGCGATTGGTACACTTTTAATGTTCATCATGCGAACATCGTATCAAGAGCTTCTCGTGATCAGCTGTTCAGCTTCTTATATCCAGCCAGTCTCAAGGCTTCATCAGCTGATATCCTGACATTGGTTCATTATGCTCTACGAGAGTTCTCTCATCATCGTCGTGATTGGCTGTTCTTATTTCATGGTGTTCTCAAGGCTACTGACGATCACCCTCAGGTTTTATCCGCGACAGCACAGCACCTGCATCACGAACACTGGTCTGACGAGAGCATGCTGCGACTATATTATATTGGGCTCAGGCATATGGCAGCTCAGGCATTTCGGGCCTTTCTTTATCAACTGCTGCTGCTCTTCGCTCATCATTGCCCTATGGCGCGTCCTCCTCCCAAGGATCGTGCTCCGCCGATGCCGAAGCGTGCTGCTGCTTATGGTGTTGTTTCGGATCCTGAAGACAGGGGGAAACAAGTGGAGGAGAATGAGCCGGTTACGCCAGTTGCGGGAACTTCAGGACTATCCCTAGAAGAGAAGCTGGCTGCACTTACCTCTGCGCACGATAACGACAATGATGAGGACTTCACGGATGATGACTCAGACACGGAACTGGAGTTTGAGATATCCAGCGACTTTGCTGCGAAGTTTCGTTATACGGCTATCCTGCTTCTGCCTCTCGTGTTACAGCCGGAAATCGCCTTGGTCATCGTCACCGCGCGGATGCTGCTGAAGCGTGTTTGGTCTTCTTTGCTCTCTGATGGCGCTAACACCAAGGTTGACTTTCAGGATATTCATCCTGCATACGTTGCAAAAACCAAGTTCAGTCGCCTGCAGTTATCATTTCACAAAGAGGAGGATGCTATTAAAGTGAGGCAATCGGCTCTGGAGTATCAGAAGCAGAATGAAGCGTCGTACCCGCTGCATTGGCTCCATACTGAAAACGCGGCCTTCGTTAAAGAGAAAGCTACGAACGCGCGTGTCATTGAGGTGGTGTTTAAAGACATACCTGCGAGTATCACGCCGGAGGCTGTTGAGGAGATGCTGGTGAAGTATAAGCTGAAAGTTCGGCAAGTCACGCCTTTCCTGGAGAGCCATTGCTTCCACCGAGTTGTGCACCCCGTCGCTGGAGCTAACACAGGGGTTATCAAGGGGTTGGTTGTCCCGCATCCGGAGGATAAGAAGCGGCGTTGGATCCATCAAGTCAACCACCCGCAGGAGAAGGGAAAGATACTCCTGATCCATTATCCTGTGCTCTCCTGTCGGCTCTGTGGGGGATGGCATTATGATAAGTATCATGATGCCTTCATCACTGACCGACAGCATAACATAGGGAAATGGAGCTTGAGTTTAGGTCGTGTGCACGGGATTAACGGTAACAGTGCAGCAGCTAGATTCAATGCTCCTGTTTCTCTTACCTTTCTTTCGGAAACTAACCACCTGGCCGCTTGTCGCAGCTTCCTCGCTAACTGCTTCACGCCTTGTTCGACCGATCCTGCTCGACCCGGCGATTGTGCTAATCTCCACTGGGAGCTCCAGGGAGGAATGGATCTGCGCGCAGGCCTGCTGCGGGAAGGCACACGGGAAGTTGTTTGTCGCCGCTGCAGAACACATCACCTCAGCGCGTCATCTGCACGGCCAGGGAGAGCTTGGTGCTGCTACCCGGCTAACCAGGGAGAAGGAGAATCTGCACACGGTTCGCAAGGAGTACGGGATCTAGGAGTTCAAGATGGACCCACCATGGAGTTAGCAGTTGGTTCGGCGTTGACTGCTCTGTTCTGTCTCACCCGCCTGTGGATGCAAAGAGGCGATCATGGAGTTATTAAATGAATACACGAAACACCCTGTCGTTTGCGGGCCTGAATGTTAACGGCCTAGGAGATTTCACGAAGCGGAAACGTACGACGGCATGGATTAACAGCAATAAAGGAGCGGATGTACTGGTTCTGTCAGACACCCGAATAGCAGATGATCACACTTACTGGCCCTCACTTAACCTCACCTCTTTCGCCGCTGCTTCGTCTGTGACTCGTGCTGGAGGTGTAGCAGTCCTCAGCCGGCGAACAGACCTTTCCTTTCACAACCCTTTAGCTCACCCCTCAGGAAGACTGGTTAAGGTGGAAGTCCACTGCTCAAACCTTAATCTTACCGTAGTAGCCACTTATCTTCCTGCAGACAAAGCCGAGAAGAGAGCCTTCATCAGATTAGTGCTTGGTCCAGTGTTAAAAACCATTCAGCCAGGCGCTCACCTACTCATCTTAGGAGACTTAAACACCATTGAAAACCCACTGCTTGATAAGACTTCCAGGCATGGTTCGACGAGAGAGAATGACTTTCTTTATCATCACTGCAAGGATTTTGCCATCTCAGATGCCTTCCGTTTCCTACACCCGAGTGAACGAGAATTCACTTTTTACTCACAGGCGCATCAGGAGAGCTCACGGATTGATCGAGCTCTGGTCTCTCAGTCCCTGCTCCCGCGCTTGGTGTCGGCTGCGCACATCTCGCCGGACGAGCCGGTCTCAAATCACGGTTTTACCATCCGAGTAATCTTCAAACTCAAATCGCAGCTGGAGTTGGGGCCAGGGGTTTGGCGTCTTCGCCCTTCTCTGTTAGGGAGGCCTGGGGCTAAGAGGAAAATTGAGGAGGTGGAGCGGTTGGTCACGCAGAATGGTGGGGGTTTTACGTCTCTTATCTCTCGCCTGAGCGCCAGCCTGCGGTCATACGCAAAAGAGGAAAGTAAGAGGATAAGGGCGACCATTAACCATCTTACTTCGGCAGTGGCTGCACTGCGTCAAGAGGCCATGCAGAACCTGAAGGATCAAGCTCTGAAAGATCGGCCGAGGAAACGGGAGCAACAGCTTAAGGAGTATTTCGCATGCAGGCGAGATAGGATGCATACAATGGCCGGGATGGAGCTGGCGCTGTCAGGGGAGGTTCCCTCACCGCATCTGTCAGCACGCATAAAGACACGGAAGGTCAGAACGCAGATAGCAGAGGTAGCAGTGCCAGGAGGGGTGGTGTCGGAACCAACGCGAATCCTGGAAGCAGCGGCGGATTACTTCCGTAGTCTCTTCGGGGAAGATAAGCGGACGGGGTCTTCGGACTGGAGTCCAGTGGCTGGGAAGAAGCTGTTGTATTCTGATGTGGAGAGTCTACAGGCGGATTGGACGGAGAAAGAAGTGAGACAGGCGCTGAAGGAAATGGCGAGTAATAAGACACCGGGGAAAGATGGCTTACCGAAGGAGATGTTTGAGATGCATTGGGACACGCTTGGAAAGCATGTCATGGGGTTGGTTCAAAGCTTCGCCCTCACCTCTACACTCCCGACCAGCGTGAAGGATGCGGTGACGATTCTCCTGCACAAGAAAGGAGCGAAGGACCAGTTGGATAACTATCGCCCGATCACACTTTTGAACATCAGCTACAAGGTGCTGGCACGTGTCCTGGCGAGCAGAATAAAAAAGGTTCTTAATCGGGTGGTCTCGCCGGAGCAGTTTGGTTTTATCCCGGGGCGATGGATGTCGGATGCGGTGGGGCTGGTCGCGGATATCATCGATGCAGCCAAGAACGGGAGGGAAGACTGGTTTATGCTGCTGGTTGATTTTAAGAAGGCGTTCGACTCGGTATCTCGTGACTTCATCTTCGAAGTGATGGGGAAAATGGGTTTTCCGGCTCGGTTCATCGGTTGGGTGAAAGGCCTGCACACAAACACGAGGACGAACTTGTTAATCAATGGCTGGCTGGGAGAGGCGGTGGAGGTGCTCTCAGGAGTAAGGCAGGGCTGCCCATTGGCGCCATACCTCTTCCTATGCGCGGTGGAACCTCTGGCGCAGAAGGTGATGAAGCGGAAGATAGGTATCTCTCTCACCAGCTGCGTCGGGCAGAGGCTGGGCTACATTGGCTATGCGGATGACACAACTCTCCTGCTGCAAGGGAAACAACAAATTGGGAAAGCGGAGGAGGTGTTGGAGGAGTTCAAAAATATTTCTGGATTAGAGACAAATAAGGGGAAGTCAGTGGTGTTGCCTCTGGGAGCTAACGTGGGGAAAAAGACCTGGCGTACCGACGGGTTCCGTTGGGCTGATGCTAGTGAAGCAGAGAGACTCCTTGGGGTGTGGGTCACGCCGGATGGGAGCTGTCAGCCGACGTGGGACAAGGCGCTGCAAAAGATCGCTGGGAAGATGACGCTGTGGCAGCCGCAATTCCTCCCGATTAAGGCTCGGACAGCAGTGATGGACGGGTACATACTGCCGATTGCGTGGTCCCAGGCTCAGGTTTATCCGCCACCTGCACAAACCTGGAA